CACGCCTACAATGGCTGTGGCTCTAGCCACCCCCCTTGTATTATTAATATTTATTATTTTGCTACTGATGTAAAACCCGCAGACATATCTCCACTGCCACAATGATCAACACCCCCCACAACACACCTTTCCAGATCCATGGATTCTACACATGCCTGTCTGAACATGTGGGGTACCCCATCCAGTGCACTAAATGCCCCAGTAACAACTATGTGGGTGAAACCAGACAATCACTACACTCTTGAATGAACTCGCACAGGAAAATGGTAAAAGACAAAAACAACCTTCTCTGTGGGTGAACCCTTTTCACAAAGCGATCACTCTATATGTGACCTATGAGTCCTCATCCTGAAAGGAAACCTGCACAACGCATTCAAAAGACAAGCCTGCGAGCTTAAATTCATAACTCTGCTAGACATTAAAAATCATAGTCTGAACAGAGACACTGGATTCCAACAATCTGTAACCCACTAACCCAGTGGTTCTCAAACTTTTGTACTGGTGACCCCTCTCACACAGCCAGCCTCTGAGGGCGACCCCCTTTATAAATTAAAAACACTTTTTAATATATTTAACACCATTATAAATGCTGGAGGCGAAGCGGGGTTTGGGATGGAGGCTGACAGCTCGCGACCCCCCCCCCCCCCATGTAATAACCTCGCGACCCCCTGAGGGGTCCTGACCCCCAGCTTGAGAACACCTGCACTAACCCCCTCTTTTTGTCCTATGTTTGCAGAGGTGTTAATGAGCCACTCTACCTTGAATGCTCTCTTGAATACATGCTAAACAATCTGTTCCACCTTGCGTTTAGCTGTGAGGCGGCGAGTACCTTTCCTAGACCTGAAGAAGAGCTGTGTGTGACTCAAAAGCTTGTCTCTCCCGCCAGCAGAAGTTGGTCCAGTAAAAGATATTACCTCCCCTACCTTATCTCGCTAATGTCCTGGGACCAACAAGGCTACAACAGCCCTCTCTTACATCTGTTCAGTTATCAGTTAACCCCCTCTCCCAGTGATGTCAACATGCCAAATGGCTGAGTGCTCAATGCCTCTGATTTCAGCTCATGCATTAGCTACAAGGAGCCCAAACCCAGAGACTCCTTGAGTTCAATAGGAATGTGTCCAAATCAGATCGTTGAGTGGTTCAAGAGACAGGAGCTGGTTAGGTTACTGGTGTGCTGAAAGCACAGTCTTTTGTTAGGCTGGGAAGGGTTATACTTTTATTGGTAAATGTCCTTGTCACCATACACGCAACACCAACAGAAACAATCATTCCTGCGTGACGAATTAAAATGCTGCTTGAAAACTTTATTAGAGTTTGATTGCACGCTATTTACTTTGTATAGTTGACGTGTGAGGTAGACAATTTGAGTTTTAACCATTGTACAGCTTTCACTCTTTGAATCTGAGCCTCTACTCTCATTAATAATTAGTGTCTGAGCCCCCACCCAATGTTAGACATCCCCCATGATTTCCCGCAACTGTGAAAATAAAAGTCAAAAAATGCTTAAAAATAAATATTAATATTATCTCCCTATGATGCTGACCACAACTGTTTCCTTTTTTTCCCCTGTCTGTCTGTCTGTCTGTTCCCCTCTGTTCTCTTATACTCAGACTGTCAGCTCATTGGGGTAGGGACCATCTCTTTCCTCTTTTATTTGTACAGCATCTGGTGCAGTGGAGTCATGGTCTATGACTGGTGCACCAAGGTGCTACCGTAACACCTCATAAATATCAATAATAATTTATCAGGAGTTGGGACAAAATTTTCAAATCTGCATACTTAAAGTTAGACCCCTAAATAGAACTGGTCCAAACTTGGGAAATTTTATTCCATGGGTAATTCTGAGATTTCAACATTTCCTTTTGTCCCAAATCAGAAAGAAACATTGATTTTTTCCCCCCTGAAAATGAAATTTTATCTTGAGTCAACTGAAACATTTTGATAAAACTGAAATGTTTCATTTTCATTTTGAATGCTTTTATAATGGACAATAAAATACATTTCACAGTGAAAAGCTGTTTTGAAATGAAAAATGAGAAACATTTCATTCTGAAAACGTGCAACTGTTCCATTTTGACACCATCGAAATCATAGAGTCATAGACTTTAAGGCCAGAAAGGAACACCAAATTACCTAGCTGGCCTCCTGAATATCACAGGACACCAAAACCATTAAGAAGCCTCACACCAAACCCAACAACCAAAATGAGACCAAAGTGTAGTGTGGAAGAAAAAGGCCCAGGTAGAGATCGTCAAATCATGGAAGTCAACGAATGGCTATGCAGGTGGTGGAGAGAAGTCTTTGGATTCTTTGACCATAGGATGGTGTTCCAAGAAGAAGGAGTGCTAGGCAGAGATGGGCTCCACCTAACAAAGAGAGGGAAGCACATCTTCGCAAGCAGGCTGGCTAACCTAGTGAGGAGGGCTTTAAACTAGGCTCACCAGGGGAAGGAGACCAAAGCCCTGAGGTAAGTGGGGAAGTGGGATACCAGGAGGAAGCACGAGCAGGAGAGCACAAGAGGGGAGGACTCCTGCCTCATACTGAGAAAGCGGGACGATCAGCGAGTTATCTTAAGTGCCTATACACAAATGCAAGAAGCCTGGGAAACAAGCAGGGAGAACTAGAAGTCCTGGCACAATCAGGGAACTATGATACGATTGGAATAACAGAGACTTGGTGGGATAACTCACATGACTGGAGTACTGTCATGGATGGATATAAACTGTTCAGGAAGGACAGGCAGGGCAGAAAAGGTGGGGAAGTTGCATTGTATGTAAGAGAGGAGTATGACTGCTCAGAGCTCCGGTATGAAACTGCAGAAAAACCTGAGAGTCTCTGGATTAAGTTTAGAAAGGTGATGTCGTGGTGGGAGTCTGCTATAGACCACCAGACCAGGGAGATGAGGTGGATGAGGCTTTCTTCAGGCAACTAACAGAAGTTACTAGATCACAGGCCCTGGTTCTCATGGGGGACTTCAATCACCTCAATATCTGCTGGGAGAGCAATACAGCGGTGCGTGGACAATCCAGGAAGTTTTTGGAAAGTGTAGGGGACAATTTCCTGGTGCAAGTGCTGGGGCCAGGCTCTTCTTGACCTGCTTCTCACAAACAGGGAAGAATTAGCAGGGGAAGAAAAAGTGGATGGGAACCTGGGAGGCAGTGACCATGAGATGGTCAAGTTCAGGATCCTGACACAAGGAAGAAAGGAGAGCAGCAGAATACGGACCCTGGACTTCAGAAAAGCAGACTTTGACTCCCTCAGGGAACTGATGGGCAGGATCCCCTGGGAGAATAACATGAGGGGGAAAGGGGTCCAGGACAGCTGGCTGTATTTTAGAGAATCCTTCTTGAGGTTGCAGGAACAAACCATCCCGATGTGTAGAAAGAATAGTAAATATGGAAGGTGACCAGCTTGGCTTAACAGTGAAATCCTTGCTGATCTTAAACACAAAAAAGAAGCTTACAAGAAGTGGAAGATTGGATAAATGACCAGGAAGGAGTATAAAAATATTGCTCAGGCGTGCAGGAGTGAAATCAGGAAGGCCAAATCACACTTGGAGTTGCAGCTAGCAAGAGATGTTAAGAGTAACAAGAAGGGTTTCTTCA